ACTAGGGTTCGTCGCGGAAGGAAGAAGGGGAAAGGGGAAAGAGTCGAGCCGCCGCTGCCTTGATCCTCTGGATGCCCTTCCTCTCGCTGACGCTGCCTTTATTAGTTGCCGCTGGTGCTTCAGTTGGCCCATTCTGGCCCATGGACCTTTGGGTTGGGCTGATGGGGTCGAGTGGGCCTGGGTGCAGCCTGATGAGTGGGGACAGCGTGGCCTTGTGGATCCCCACTGTCGGGGGCGCTGACACACAAGATCAGTTTTTGTATAGGAATTGGATATCATATCTGAGTGCCTATTTTGTTCTAAGAAATTCTATAGGAAATTATGTATTTTTTTCCTATTACTATGTTTTTTAGAATCCTACAATCCAAGCTATCCCTAAAACGCAAGGCTTGTACAGTATGGATATTTGAATGTTTGACTGGGATTTTGTAGGAAATTGTTTCTTCGAGAGAGAGAAAGAGAAGAGGCGAGACAAAGACATCTGTTGCATTGGACTTCTCAAAGAAAGTAGAACATGAGGTTTGAGCAAATATTAGATTCTCCAAAATATGAACCAAATAAAGGACTCCTATAGAAATTTTCAAAGCCAACGCCGCAATTCAAAGGGCGCAACAAATTGTCTTTGTATATGATTCATTTCCTAATATTTTTATTTTGAAAATCCTTTATTCCGATCGGACTCTGGCTTGCAAAATAGCACATTGATCTTGACAGCGCATATGAAGTGACATAACTGAAATCAATCCTCAAGTTGTGATAAGCTTGTTGAACATACAAAACACAAGACTAAATAATGAGGAGCAGCAAAGTTCTTGATCCCTTTTCGAAAGAAAAAAGTTCTTGAATGGAAGGAGTACAATAAAATTTACAATAAGAGAAATCTCTCTGAAACAAACAGTGGGTATACACACAAATAGTAATAATAATAATGTTGGAAAGGCTAAATTGAACAACATGTGGTAAACCTTGTTATAGTAATAACCATAAGAAGAAGAAAACCATCACACAAAGGAGAGAGGCAGCATATCGGTGCAACATAATTAAGTTGGCAGCAATGCCGACGGAAGGTGGCTCCATTGTTGATTTGCACTGACTGCACATAAATAGTGAAAAGTATATATAATTACATATGCTTTAATTATTTCAAATGAAAGATACTTCAAGTGGAGACGAAAGAGGAGAAGAGTAGAGAACTAACTGACCGTGTTTGATGAAGTCTGCATTATCGATCAGGGTTCTTCAACGAACAAAAGGAAGGGCACGGGCCTATTATTATGGCCATCTACAGCCAGTTGCCATTGAGCTCTTATTCCGCCCTGGACCTGAGGATGGAGCTCGACTTGATCCAGCTGATTCATATGTGCAATCTCAATGCCGGGTGTTCCAGGAAGAACATCCAGTGTTTCACAGAGGATATGAAGCGACACAAGATCAGGCAGCGCACCAGCTTGGATTGTTATGTCTAGCCTTGGCTTGCACACGATTGACAACCGCTTGATGCTTTTGAGGTGATCAGGCTGTATCACGATGGGCCCGAGGGTATCCTCATTTTCAATAAGCTTGAGATATTTCAGTCCCCCAACGCAGATCAGCTCGCCTTGAATATCCACGTAGCTCAGCCCGGCTCGAATATCCTCCCAGCTCAGACCAGTCGAGCAAAGGCACAGCTCGTCGATGGAACTTAGCTGTGAGACAAACGGAGGGAACTGGCCCAGTTTGCCTTGCAGCTTGAGAGCGGCGAGTATGCCGGGAACTGGGTCTATATCGCTCGTGAATCCTCCCGAGGATCCTTGGAAATTGATGGATAGGGAGCGACTAAGATGAGGCTCTCCGGGACCATCACGAATGAATTTGGTAATGGCACTTGAAAGAGCATGCAGGTTTCTTCGCTTTGCATTGGGTTCGCACCATATCTTCACCTTCCGCAACCGCCTCATAAGACTCATCAGTTGCGGAAATCCAACTTTCTGACCGGTGACAAATCCTGCCAGCGTCTCCAGCATACTCTTATGAGCTTTGAGGAACTTCTCTACATCTGACGGTACAGGTGCCCAAATGGTATCTGTTCCGGAAAGCTCAAACTTGCCAATGAGATGCTTCAATCGCGGCAGCAGGAGGACTTCTTTGTACACCGTCACTATTCCATCAGCACCGTCACATTCTGAGCTTCCACTTCCACTCAGGTCGAGTGTCTCTAGCTGATTCAGCTTCCAGATTTCCCTTGGAAGCCTATCAATGATGCCCGATTTGATGCTCAGGTATTTCATCAGCACCAGGCTGTAGATAGCCTGAATATGGCCCGCACTAAGGTGAGCACACTCTTTCAGGTCCAACACTCGCAGCAGTTTATACTTGGTAAAATCTAAAACAGCTTCATAACTATCTAGAGTTGCCGCCGCGCCAGTGGAGAATACTGCCAGGGTCCGGAGAAGAGATAAACTCTGAGGCAAATTCAGATGGGCGTTTGCACAAGCATGCACAGATAGCCTGCGGAGGTGTTCGTTCTGCAATTCGGCCACATCGTGAGATAACCATATGAAATTCTCCGACATGGACCGTTGGGTGATGTACTGCCGAATCGCATCGCCGGTAGGCTGGCATCTCTTCACCTTCCCATTGCTGCTTCTCTGGGTGGACCTGATGATACTGGAACCAACAAGCATGCCCAAATTGCTGGCTGCGCCTTGTTCTCCTGGTACAAGTCCTTCAGCCGTCCATCTCCTTTCTAGGGGCTTAGTCCTGAGTCCTGACATGATGTTCATGAGGGAACAAGCGCAGATATAGCAAGCAGTTGTGGTAATCACCATTAAGATTACCTCCCCTCATCAGGAAATGAAAATTCTGAATCTCCGCGGGGACAGCAGCAGCCGCCGCTTGTGCTGCAGCCCCTTGTACAGGAAAGCCAAACCTCTTTACCCGTTCAGTCGTTGCAGTTGATCTCTCCTTGAGTTGGGCAATTTTGTCGGCAAATTCATCATCGGTCGTCATCTTGGCGTTGAAGCTGTCTATACAGTCTTGGATGTCATAAGCCAAGGCCCTCAGTTGTGCAAAATATTCTGCCTGCAAGAAACTCATCGGCTCGACACTGGAAGCATGATCCTTCATGGCAGCTTCGATCCACTTGAGTTCTTCACTGATGATGGTAGCATCAGTATTTAGCTTCCCCTTCACGCTGCAGAGCTTCGACAAGGCGACGCCAGCTACCGTGCTAAATGCCGCTACAGCAAACTCCATCGGTCTCTCTTTCCTTGTCTCCACAGATCACTCCTCCTCCCTAGATCTGCATGCACGGCAAAGAGCGGTTAGTGTTGCTTCAAATGGAAGAGAGAGGGAGAGGGAAGGGGCCGGGAGACAGAGCTTCTCTACCTCGGTGGAGGGAGCTTCAGAGTTCCCCTCCTCGGCTGCAGTGACTTGATAGAGTCACAAGTCACAAGTCACAATTCACAAGTGGCAAGGAGGACTGGGCTAACATATACTCCCTCCGTTCCAAAATAGATGACTCAACTTTGTACTAACTTTGTACTAAAGTTAGTACAAAGTTGAGTCATCTATTTTGGAACGGAGGGAGTACTCTGCTAGTGTTTACTATGAACTTGTTTGGGAAACTTTTTCTCCAGAACGGTTTTGGATCTAACGGGACTCAGTTTTTTTTTCATACATATCTAATTAGAGGTTTGATTTAAATTTCAGATAATTTTGCAATAGTTGGAATCATCTTGTACGATCGATGATCAGAGAACTAATTAAATTTGTATCATCTCAGACACTCAGAGGTGCTCGTAGCTAGTGATAAGATATGTGTGCGTGTGTTAATAGGGGTATATGTGATGATTGTCTTCATTTATACCGTGTTTACAAAAAGGTCTATTCTATATATATTTTTCATTATTTAAATGTGTTAAGATGCTTCCTCTTGCTCCCTCTGTAAAGAAATATAAGAGTGTTCAAATGCTCTTATAGTTTTTTTACGGAGGGAGCATCTCCCAAGGAGTATTGGACGTGTTATGTACTTATATTAGCTTCCTATATAGGTAAGAGTAATGGTAGCCGGGTCAATCAAAGGTTCGGCTTGCTTCTCCCCCATCCTCTCTTATGAAATGGATAACCCAATGGATGGTTCACGTTACTTTTCACACTGTCTCTTTTTCTAACCTGTAACCGTCACTACTATAAAATCGTTTTCCAAGTAAGAAAAATGGACTAAGAGGATCCATTTGTTTTCTATGTTGATGTCAATTAATCTAACCCAGATGGCAGATTCGTTCCAGATGTTAACCACCAGTGGTTGTTGATAGAATAGGCAGCAATCACAGTTTTTCTTTGGAGGAGGGGCGGTTCCGTGGGGCGGAGGCTTGGCCGGTTCTTCCAGTCACAGGTCAGGTCTTCTAAGCACCCTCCCCTTCCCCATGTTCCATGTACGTATAGGGGGCTGTTGAGTTGTGGTGTTCCACTTTGTCCACGCACTACTTTTTCGCCCATCTGATAGCTTCGTCCAAATCGAGATTTCCCTGGTAGTGTCTCCCCTCCCGAGCTTTCTTTGTCGTTCATTCATACAATTACAAATCATCTGGTTGTCTATGAGGGATCAATAGTAATCATCTGTTTCTTGCTTCAGGTGAAGATGGCGCAGATGGAGGATGTAGATGCCGCGTCCCCTCTGCCAGCGATGGCGTTGGACCCTGATCTCCACGCAGCGATTCGAGCTCCTGTTACTGTTATGCTGGGTCCGTCGGCCCTCCTCCTCCGGGAACTCGATTCTTCCGGACAGAGTCTTCTCGGTGCGGAGGAGCTTCGTCTTCTTAGAGATGCTCTCAGGGAAGTATGCATCCCCCTGAAGAGTATGTCCGAAGACGACGGTGCTAGCTTCATGGCCCGGTGGTGGATGAAGATAGTTCGGGAGCTTTGTTATGATACGCAGGATTACCTCAACTTCGTCCAAAGTGCTCGAGATCGTCCTGAATTTTCAGAGTTACCTGATCGTGCCAAGGCTGTTTATTCAGGCTTACTTGCTCGCGCCATTGATGCGAGGGAAAGACGCAGAGGTTTCAAGTGGTCTCCCAAGACCACCCGGTCTGACACGTGGGAAGCCTTCAACCGCCGCTTCTCCAAAAAACTTGTCCAGCTGCTGGGTTCCTTCGGTGTCCATACCACACCCGGTGCCGTGGTCGTGGAGGCCCCAAACAAGCTTGTCCAGCTGCTAGCTTTAGATGATGATGTCAACGACAAGACACTCAAGGTGATACCTATAATTGGATGTGCAGGTACAGTAATAATCTATCCTCAACTTGAATATCTCTAGTCTTTTTCTGCCCGGCCCATTAATGCTAGCTGGAACATATGCCAAGTTTCTTTCATCTTCTTTCAGGTGTTGGAAAGACAACAGCTGCCAGAACCTTGTATCACAAGCATGGAGGGAAATTTCAGTGCCGGGCTTTTGTAAGTGTGTCTCAGAATCCAGATATGAGGGGAATCCTCACCAGCATGCTAGCACAACTTAAGGCACCACGGCCCCCTGGCTTTCCTGATGTGCTGGACCTTATTGGCGCTATCAGCAGGCATCTCCAAGGCAAAGGGTGATTGATCTCAACTATACTGTCTAAATAAGCAAATTCCGTGTTCTCTTCTCATAAATAAATCATAGGCATAATTTTATTTTATGAGGTTCCAGTTATGGCGTGTCAGGCATTGCCATAGCATTTTGAGAAATTATGAATATTATTAATGGGTGTTGACCCTCAAAAAAAAATTATAGCACATGCTCAGGTGAACCTAGGCAAATTAATATATATGCTGCCGCTTGAGCAAGGTATATATTAATTTTTATTTTTTCTGACCTAACATACAAAATTATGCAGGTACTTGATCGTACTTGATGATTTATGGACTGCATCGGTATGGCATATTGTTAGCCGCGCTTTTCCTCGTGGTGATCACCGCAGCAGAATAATAACAACTACACAAGTGCATGACGTAGCATTGGCATGCTCTGGTTATCACCCGGTCCGTATATATAAGATGGAACTTCTTGATGAATATGAATCTCGAAAGTTATTCTTCCGTAGGGTGTTTAGCTCTGCCCCTGGAGATGGTTGTTCTCCAGCTACCAAAGAAGTCTCATACGAGATTATCAGAAAATGTGAAGGTTTGCCGTTAGCAATTGTAAGTATAGCAGGTCTGTTAGCAAGCGAATTAAGCATCGTCATGGAAGATTGGAGGCACATACAAAATTCTTTTTCCTCCACTTCCGAAGGGATGAAAGATATTTTAAACCTTATCTACAATAGTCTTCCACCTGGTTTGAGGACATGCTTGCTATATCTGAGTATGTATCCACAGGGCTACGTGATGAAGAAGGCTGAGTTGGTGAAGCACTGGGTAGCCGAAGGTTTTATCGGTGTTGTGGAAGGGACAGTCGCAATGAAAATTGCTGAGCGTTATTTTGATGAGCTTGTCAGCAGAGCAATGGTCCAGGCCGTGGACACCGATTATACTGGCAAGGTGTTGTCATGTACGGTTCACCATTTGGTACTGGATTTTATTAGGTCCAAATCTTTGGATGAGAATTTTGTCACCACTGTGGACTATTCTGAATCAACTCTAGCACACCCTGACAAAGTTCGTCGGTTATCCATCCAGTTTGGAGGGGTAAAAAGCGCATACATTCCAGAAACCATCGTAACATCGAAAGTTCGGTCACTTGTATTTTGGGGTTTCTTCAAGTGTGCGCCTCCTTCCATTATGGATTATGGATTTCTTCGTATTCTGAATCTTCATATTTGGGCTGATGAAGACAATGAGATTTTTGACCTCATTGGAATTGGGAACTTATTTCTTCTGAAGTATCTCACGGTTGAATGTAATATCACCGTCAAACTTCCAGAGAAGATTGGAATGCTCCGATACTTGGAGACACTGGAAGTAGATGCAAGATTGTTTGCTGTTCCATCAGATATGGATAATCTGGAGAGGTTACTGCACCTCCGTCTTCCGAGCGAATCTATCCTGCCTCAAGGAGTAGCCCACATGACATCTCTTCGCACTTTGGGGAATTTTGATCTCAGCCGCCGTTACTCAATAAAGAATGTATTACAACTTGGAGGGCTGTCTAATCTCCAGGATCTCCAGCTCACCTGTGCTATGGCACAGCAAGCAGAAAACCTGGAAAAGAATGTGCTACTCCTTGGCTGGATTGTTGAGAGGCTTAGTTTCTTGCAGACCATAACTTTGGTACCTGCTTCAGTGTCCTCTCATCAGGATGATGGTCAGGCTGCAGCACCTACAAGCATAATTATTCCCCCTGATGGATTTAACATGGAGCCTCCTCCAGACCTGCTTCTACAGAGGATCGAAATGTCGCGGCACTGCTGCATCTTCTTCTGCATACCTAAGTGCTTTGGAGAGCTAAGGAAACTCTGCATCCTAAAGATTGCAATTAGGAGTCTGTCGAGGAGTGATATTGAAATCCTGGAAAGAATGCCGGCCCTCGCTGCTCTCGCCCTGTATAATCAGACAACTCCCACAGAAAAGATGATCATGACTGACGGGGGATTCTATAGACTCACGTACTTCAAGTTCTTGTGTGCTGCACCATGCCTGTCCTTTGAACAAGGAGCGATGCCCAAACTCCAAAACCTCAACCTAGGATTCAACTCAGACCAATGGAGATCGGATACCTTTGAAACTCTTGGCTTGAGTCACTTGAGAGGCCTTACGGATGTATGTGTAAGACTTGGTACTGGGGCTGCTGACAACTTCAACGTAAAAGTTGCCGAGTCGGCATTGGAGGCTGTTGTCAGGAATCACCCCAACTCTCCTAGGATCAGAATAAAATTTGTGGATCTGATTTTTGATGGTAAGGAGGATGATAGCACCGCAACTCACCAGTATCAAGAAGGCAAGGAAAGCAGGTACGGCTTTTTCTTCCGTTTACAAGAATTTTGTAGGGGGTTTAAAGGATAGGAATTTTATAAAAGGATTTCTTTGGAACCCAGTGATTTGTAGGAATAGAATCTCATTCCTGTCCAGCATAGAAACCAATCCTTTCTATTTCAAAGGGGGGAAAAAGCATTAGCCTAGACCCAAACCCAATGAAAAAAACAATCATATCCTGTGAATCAGATGAAATGACATACTTGTCACCTCACTTCATATGATTTTCCAATTTTGATGATATGCCTATTCAATGAACCAAAAGAGACCTTAACAGGGCATTCGTCCAATCTTGCACTGCTAATTTGTTCGTCATTTTTCCTTCAATCGCGACAGGTCTGCCAGAGGCCAAGATGGCAAACAAGATGCAACAAGGGGCGAACGTCAACAACAGGGGCCACCAATGAGCAAACAAGATGCACGGAGGAGCAAAGCAGTGGGAGCGTCATCAAAGGCACTACCACCGATGAGCAAAGCTGTAAATGCTAGCAAGTCAAGGGCAGCAGTACCTCCTCCCACCAGCTCTAGCCCATCAAAGCCGATGCCATCTTCCTCCCTTACCAGTCCACCAAAACCGAGGCGACGTGGCTCCCGCACCAGCCCTCCCCGACCCACGAGCCCGCCCCAACCCAAGCGCTAAGCTTTTGGTACGATTATTTCTTCTTCGTGCACCAAAAATAGAAAACGCTTCTAATGTACCATTTACAGCTTTGCTCAAGTTTTCCAAGCTCTTGGTATGATTTTCCCAAGGACATAACAGAGTGTCGACCTGTTCTTTCATGTCATGAAGTCCATCTGCTACCTACTTTCTTCCCTCTAGAAACTCTCTTGTGCTGGAAAGTAACTTATTCAAAGCCAGAACTGGGCTAGGTGCTTATTTTCGTTCATCCCTGACCCAGGCCAGGGGTTGAGCGCATCATCCCGCTTATTAGCGCCAGGGACATCCGACAGACAGACGGACGATGCACCAAGCGGTGAACCATGCGGCGGGAAGAACGAGCATCCGAGGAGCAGTCCCCACCCTGATGCCATCCAAACTGATCAGCTCTCTAAATATTACAGCATCTATTCTACATCCGTATGTACACATGTCTGCTTTTCTTGTGCACTAAGTTCTGTACTGTGTTTTCTTATAGGCTGGCACTTTTCAAAAAAAATTCAAAATGAGGATGTACCCCTCAGCCTCTGAGTGATGCACACAGCCTTATAGGCTGGCATTATACCATTTGATACTTCTGTGACCATGCCGTGAGCTGCGGGATCGACATGTTCTCGTTTGAAATGGGGAAGACATAAACATATATGTCATACGAAGAAAGCAAAAAAAATGTTTCTGTTGTAAATAATGAGAGAATTCAAGTGCTATGAGTGACTTACTTAGGTTTTAAAACAAAACAAATAGGGCTTGTGTAGCATAGGAGTCATGAGCACAGCACCAGAACAGCACCCAAGCACAGCCTCCAAACCCCAAAACAATATCAACGAAAATTTGAAATTCAACACGTGAATTCTACCAACATCACCAGAGCAGAACTCAGGAATCAGTATTAAAAATCTCGGGATTGACAAATCCCACAAACCTAAATTTACCACTCATCATGAGTAGTACATCAAACAATGCAAATTTATTGAACACTCACAAAACACTACCAGGTTCAAACAGGTGACACTATAATTAGGCTTACATCTATGTCAATAACTATTTCGAAACAGAAAAAAGGAGTCTCGCCAAGAGACATCAAGGGTATATCCAAACAAAGAGCATCACAAAACACTTCCAGCTTATTGAGGCAAATTTATTGAGCCACAAATCTCATTCGAAATCACATTCTACTCACCACACACCAGGCGTATATCAAACAAGTCAAATTTATTGGGCCACAAATCTCATTCGGAATCACATACTATTCACCACATACCATGGCGTATATCAAACAAGGCAAATTTATTGAGCATCACAAAACACTTCAGGTTTCAGGTCGGCTGCAAGACGCTGCAGGCTTTGCAGTTGCCACGCATTCGCTGGCATTCAAGCAGCTAGAACTATAGTTACAGACTTGCGGGTAGAGAAGTCGATAATGGCTTCAAAACAGAACAAAGGTTTCTAACCACAATATAGAACTGACTTGATCACGCGTTCTGCAAGCTACTTATATAGTGCATACCAGAGAGAGTAAACGTTTCTGATGATTTGCTAGGTTGTTCGCAACACTAGCGCAAAGGAGACGATTTACATGCTGTTTCAGTTATCTAACACACCTTCAGTAGGCTTGTGAATTGTACTCCATTTGAAACAGCTCAGCGGCCACAACTAATCATACTTTCTTCGTTTCGGTGCCGCCACGTCAGGTCACTGAAGCTGGGTGTATCAATATGGCCGCGGTGGATAAGCTCCGGGGTACGGCGCTGCATAAGATTCAGTGAGATGATCAGATTAGTTCACCTGATTAGAGTCATGAAAACGGATGGATTTATCTAAGCTCATCAAGATCTTACCAGGTGGATAAGGGGATTGCGCTGCTGAAGGTGGTGGGTATGGTTGCCCATATGGCTGTGGCGGGTAAGGTTGCTGCCCATATGGCTGTGGTGGGTACGGTTGCCCGTATGGCTGCGGTGGATACGGTTGTCCATATGGCTGTGGTGGGTGACTTGTAGGAGGACCTCCCTGCTGCGGGTATGGCTGCTGAGGAGGCGGAGTTGGGTATGGCTGCTGAGGAGGCGGAGTTGAGTACGCAGAAGGAGCAGGATATGGTGCGTGGCTAGGAGCTGGATAAGCTTGGTGCGGTGGGGGTGCTGCAGCATATGCTGAAGGCGCTGGGTATGAAGCTGAGGAGGCACCGTATGGCGAAGGAGCGTACTGGCCAGAAGTTTTACCTGCCATCTTGTTCTTCTGATATACACAAGAGAAAAACAATGAGGCAATGACACATCAACAGAAACAATTAAACAAAGACCAGTGATCGTTCTCTCACTCACCATTGCTGAGACATCAAAGTGCATGATAAGCTTAACTTCCCCAGCAGACCTGCACAGATTGACCTCAGTGTCAGGAAATCTGCAAGTGGCAGTAGGAGAAAGGTATTACAGTACGCATATATATGTAACAAAACACCTACTTCATATGGCGTGTCTGGAGGGGCCACGAGGAATCATCGTAGCCACTCGTGAGCACCTTGTTCAGTGGCACCCTGCATGCAGAAACGCTCAGCCATCAGTCGCTTTACTCGGTAACAGTATAATGACTAAAATGAACTGCATCGTAATGCACAAACCTGCAGCTGCCAATGAAGTCATCAGTGTTGATTGTGTTGCTGTTCCACACGTTGATACTCAGCTCACGGAGCCCCTCGATGAGTGGTATATGAAACTTCTCGTCGAAGGACGGGTTCCTTCCCCCATCTGATTGTATTAATAAAAAAATAGTAAGCTTATGGAGGTCAAATATGTACAAACGTTGGAAATGTCCTTGCAGTTCACACCGAAAAAAGATGTCGTGGCACTCCACATTAATTGAAAGTCAAGGAGTGATAGTCTGCTAGATTAATAATATGTTATGAAATGCAGATCGGAGAACCTCTTGGAAAAAGTTGAGGACTTGTTCAGGTCAACTCTAGGATGGATGAGAGTGCATTTTCTATTTGGCATAGTAACTGTAAGATAACAGAGAAAGAACTTTCCTACAGTGCTTAATCTAGGGCTGGGTTCTTCTAGGAATGGTTTCAGATTCATATAGAACGAAATAAAAACTGGAAGTGAATTGCGCACCATGCCAGTTTGCTGTATTTAAGTCCTTGTCTGGATAAGGAAGGCCAGGTAGCAAATTTCAATATAAGGATATAAGAAATGGTAACACACTGACATTGGCAAATAGCATTCCAGAAAATTGAATTGCTCAACTTCTAGAACCAGCCCAGCATCCTGAGAGCATCACTCGAAACATACAGAGGTAGATGCCAAATTGTACTACAAAGGAAATAGGATTCCTGTAGGACAAGCAATGAGTACCACTATCTCATACAGCTTTATTCATAGGCCGTGCATCAATCAAAAAGTTAAAAGGATATATTCTCGAACCGACAAGAGCATCTTATGCCAATCTAGGGTGGCATTGTTTTCCACCAGCAGACGTGAAAGAAACAAAAATAACCACGGCATGGCCTTTTCGCAAAAACTAGGATGAGTAATGGGGACCGCTAGTGTGTAGAAACATACTCATCAGGGGCGCGGCTCATCAAACAAAGGTAGAAGAATATATTCTGGTGTCGACCTGAGTATCTTATGCCAATCTATGGTGGCATGATTCTTTTTTTATTGAAATTCTAGGGTGGCCGATTCCACCAGGAGGTGTGCAAGAAACAAAAATAACCTCCTCATCACGAGACGCACGATCTTCACAAAATAATAGGAGGCAGAGTACCCTATCGAATATATGGACTCCAAAGAGATGAGACAATGATCACGCGTGCAACCGACGAAGATACAGAAACATCATGAGCCTATGGTGTCAGCTCAACTGCAATAATGTCGGCTTCCATGAATGAACAGTATTACTGTTAGATTACTAGTGATATTACTAAGAGTTGGCTGAGTATGAGAGCAGTCAGTTGACACCAGTCCTAATAATGACAAGCACATGTTTCAGAAAAGCAGCCCGTATAGTACTAATCAAGCAGTGGGCCATGCTGTTGCAAACTGTAAGTGCGCTTGAGAACTAGTCATTGGTTACTAGTCCGCCGCCCACTGTCGTCGATAACATAGAAGAGGCAATGCTGACCTGGTTACCCAACCACCGCGTGGTGCCGGTAGGTGCAACTACTGAAACGAATTGAGTCAAGCATGCTGAGTAATTAAGCAGACTAAATTAGCGGTAGACTGTACAATACACTAGATAACCTGGGTAAACCCAGTTCAAATATTGGGTGAATTCAGTTTGAATACCACCAGTTTTGGGCACCTAGGCTAAGTGCAGAGTTTGTGGATGCACAAACTGCAGGGAGGAACAAATTGAGCAGTGAGGCTTCCTTGTAGCAAAGTACTATAACTGAAGATGAGAAGACGTCGCTGCTCCTGCTCCTCAAGAAAAAAGAAGAGGCAATGCTGAAATGGTCACTCACCCGCCGTTGTTTGTGCAGTTAACGGCGGGTTGGCGCAACCACTGAAGAAGAAACCGATCAGTTTGGTGTGCCCTCCTCAATGTACAGGTCGTTGCTAGTACACCCACCCTTGCTCGTCTAGAACAATGTGTGCGCGCGGACAAAGGCATGGCTCAATAAACAGATTAATTTGTCGCCAATTGGTTCAAATGCCACCAGTTTAAATCGAGCAGTAGTCGGTTTGCTGATGCGTGCAAACAATTTTCACTTGAAGGGCAGGAGTATGTGGTCACGCATAACGTCATACAGGATACAGGCACGCTGCAGGAGAGATGAGCTGAAGCAAGCGAGAAAAAATGGTGGAGGGGAGGGATAGCGTACCGGTGCAGGTGCGGGTGCGGAGCTTGGTGTTGGCGTACTCGACGATGACGTAGGGGTCCTGGCGCGAGAAGAACTCCGTGTCCCGCAGCTTCCGGCACCCCGTCACTGCCCACCCCAAGCAAACCAATCGAGCAAGCGCGTCGACAAAATTCAGTTGAGCAAAAGG